AAAAATAAAAAAATAAAATCTTTTTTTTAAAAAAAGAAAGAAATATGTAGGCACTGAGGGGTTTAGTGACTTGCTCACAAGCTCACAGCTAAATGGAAACAAAGCCAAGACAAGAACCCAGGCATCAAATCCAGGGCTCTTCTCACTGTACCACATGACCTCTAAGACATGAAAATAGTCACTATTCACCAGGAATTGCACTGGAAGAACTGGTAAAGAGCTGGAAGCCTGGGACTTTTAAATTTTGTGAGCAATAAATACCTTTTTTCCCCTTAAGCCAAAAAAAAAAAAAAAGAGTATTTGTTCAGTATCAGTTTCTTTTACAACTTCTGTTTTTGTCTCCTCAAATCTACTCAGATGACCTTAAACAGTGCTACAGATTACATTTTATAATACTATTACCAGATTAGAACACAGAGATAAAGTTTGAGAACTGACAGCTCATGATAATCTCCCAGCCTCAAGAGAACAAGGACATCTATTTTGCCACATCTGTCTTTTGAACCCTACACCACATAGTACAATCCCTGGCATATAGTAGGTGCTCAATAAATGTTTATTTTATAAAGCTTAACTCCCCCCCCCACATTAGCACTAACTACCTGACTTTTAAATATTAGAACAAATAAAAACAGCAAAATATCAGTTTTATATCTGGGGTCTATAAGCATTTACAATATAAAGAATTTATTAAACAAATTAATGTTTATGGGGGTGCCTGGGTGGCTCAGTCGTTAGGTGTCTGCCTTCAGCTCAGGTCATGATCCCAGGGTCCTGGGATTGAGCCCTGCATGGAGCCTGCTTCTCCCTCTCCCACTCCCCCTGCTTGTATTCCCTCTCTCTGTGTGTCTGTCAAATAAATAAATAAAATCTTAAAAAAAAAACAAAAAACCCACAAATTAATGTTTATGACCAAATGTAAGGGGAACATTTATGTTAGTAAAATATTTCAAGCACTATACAAATTAATTGGCAAGTTAATTACAGTAATTCTTATCTATTGAAATGGGCCTAACCTTTAGCCAGCATTACTTTTTCTGCCTAGTTGGGAGTCACTGAATGCATTACAAAGCAATAGTTACAAAGGTAGCACAAGGGGTACCGGAGTATCCGGGACTTAGTCCAAGCAGTGCTAATAGGTAGATACATAATTGTGGGCAAATCACTTTCTCCTCTTTTGAGTCCTAGTTAACCTATTCATAAAAAGAAAAGAGTTGAAATACTAATCACCAGAGACCCTTCCAATCTTAATTTTTAAAAATGATTCTTATCCACAAAGGTTCTACATTCAGATTTTTTCATTGAATCAAATTGGATATCTTGAGTGTTACAGTTGGCTATATTATTGGATAATGAAAAGTTTAGCACATTTTCTAAAAATATATATAAAGATTAGTAGTAACATATATTCTTTTTACCATCTTATATTAGGGGCAATTGGAGAAAATAAGAAAAGAAATGTGAGCATCTGATAATCAGGCCTGCTTTGCCAGGTGGGCTGACCGGAACCATACTGGATTTTACAATACAGACCACTGATACATAAATGCATGTATGTCTTTACATACCATTGATAAACACTTATGTTGATATACATATAGGTGTGTGAATTTTAAAAATTGTTTCCAATTATAAAATCAATACTTGTTTATCGTAAGAAATTCAACCAGTACCTTAGACCACACGTGAAGTGCAGATTAAAAAGCATCCCACCCATCTCCATCCCTCCATTAAATAGACACTGTTCACATTTTTCTTGTGTCCTTCAAGAAATTATCTGAGCATATTCAAATATGCATATGTACGTGTGCATAAATCTTAACCTAAACTGTTGCCACTTCTTGAATGATGGGGAAAATATCTCAAGCATTGGCTTCATAAACACGTTAAATACATCGAAAGTAGTATCACAGTTGTATGGTACGAAGTGGTATACGCTTCCGAAGTGTGGGGTAGGTTAAATGTTCAATTTCCTTGCTTGGAGGCTATGTGCAGCAGTTGTTCACAAAGAGCGGTAAGCAAGGAGCCAGACAAGCTGGGCTCTAATCTAAGTAGCTGAGTAGCCTTAGGCAAGCCATGAAATCTTCCCGTGCCTTAGTTTCCGCTTTTGTAAAATAAGAGGATTGGACCAAGATCCCTTCCAACTCTAAAATGTTTTAGTCCTAAAATGGCCGTCTTTAAGTGTTCTCTTGACCTGGTTGTAAGAAATCCGAAGTAAAAAAAGAGAAGAAACAAACACTATAGCAACCTCCAGTCTTATAAGAGTACATTTCTATGCGTCATTGACTATCAAGGTCTAGTGTGACAGACCTAGTGACATAATTATATTTGAAAACAAAGTAGTAGATTATTAAAATCGGACAGGTTTTTACAGAGCTTTGATTGATCTTTTTTTTTTGGAGATGGAGGGGGCTGTTGCTTAGTTTCAGCAATAACCACCCCCCTCCTCCCGAAAACAATTAAGTGTATTATGAAGTTAAAATAATGAAACTGAAAGTTAGACTGAATTCTGTTTTACTCACAGAATATGCTGGGGAGGTGACTAGGGCAGCAAAGATTGGAAAGAATTAGTAGCTAATTTCCTCTTCCGGAAGCTCTTTGGTTCCTATTCTTTCTGCTTCACAAGCCCTCGCCAGGCACACTCCACCCACTTCCATACCTGCCACACGCATCAGATTGGGGGGTGGGGAGGGGGCGGTCCCTTTGATCATTAAAAAAGTTCTTTGACTCGATTTACCTTAGGGGTCACAGGGTTTAAGAAGGCACCCGGCCGGCCCGAAGCCACCCACCTACCCACCCACGCCTTCCTTCGGCGCTCCCGGGAACCTGGGCAAGGAGCCGCGGCTGGGCCACCCGCGCCGCACAGGGGCGGCCTTCCCGCCCTCCCCCGCAGCGCGGGGCCCGCGGGGAGGGGGGGTGAGGAGGAGGAAGCCCGTACAGGCAGTACCCACCGCGCCAGAAGAGCCAGCCCGGATCGCCCGCGGCGCCCTGCGCGGTCCGGAGGGGAGGGTCCTGGAGGAGGGGCGGCCCGAGCCCCAATCTGGAAATGCCAACTCCGCTCTGCGGCCGGGCCCCAGCCTAGAAGGAAACGGAAGTCCCTTCGTCTCCCGCAGGCGCACCCACCAGCCCGCCCATCGCCCGGAGGAGCCCCGAGTCGGGGAACCCGAGGTGCGTCCACGACAGGGCCTCAAACAGACACCGGCCACGGTCGGTCAGTCTCATGGCCCTGGCCGCGCCACGGGGGCCCCCGGCTCCCGGCCCCCGCCCCCGCTAGACTCCTTTTTACCGCCCCCACGCGGGGACCAGCCTCCCGCCCTGCAAGGCCCCTCCTTCTTCCCCCTCCGCCATTTTCGAACTTACCCTTCGGGCCCTGGCGTCCTTGATTAGTGCTGAGCCCTCCCGGGGCGCAGTCAAGGTTCCGCCACTTCCCTGGGTCGGAAGGGGGCAGCCAGGACAATCGAAGCCCTCGTCCCCCCCCAACCCCCCCCCAGCTGGAAGCCAGAACCTGACCTAGCAAATGCGCCTGCGCAGTGGGTACCTCGCAGTCCCCGCCCCCAGCTCAAGCGTTTCCTCTTTAGCCTCGAGGTGTTTTTTTCCCACGCTTTTACTTGCTGGGCTCTGGTGTTGACCAGTTGGTGAATAGAGGTAAAATTAAGGATGAAAAGAGAGCGAACAAGTTGAGTTCTCACTGTAGACCTGGCACTGTGATAGGCGTATGACGTTTCTTTGTTGTTGTTTTGACAACCCTGTAAGATAGGCACTCTCTTATTAAACCCATTTTACAGAGGAATTTGAAGCCCAGAGAGGATAAGCCCCTCCACTAGCATGCAGCTAATAAATGAGGGAACTGAGGTTAGAATATGGTCTGTGCCCTAGGTGGGAAGGATAAAAGGAAAAAGACATTCAGTTGGGACAGGAAGGGGATCGAGAGATAAAGGAAAATGAATAGGGAAGAAATTAGAAGGCAGGGAAACCGGAAATCTGGTACATAAAATGCTGATCATATCCTGGATTTATTTCAAGTATGCTGTAAGATTGTCAAACAGACAGATGAATTTTGTTTCACAAACTTGGGCTCCCTTATATGCTAGCGTAGTGACATGAGAGGTTCTGAATGAGTGTTTCATTTCAAGAGGAAGATTGTATCACCTGCATCCTCAAATGCTGCTGCTCTTGAAAAGGGAACTTGGAGGGAGGAGAGACGAGACTTCTTTTTGGTTGTTAGGCTTTTGCTAAATATTATTCCCTCCGATCCTCTTTTACTGTCATAGCTCTGAGAATCTCACATCTGACTTACTGCAGTAATAGGAATTGCAAAGCAAATAGTTATCTCATTTAATTCTCACAGCAATCTTATGAAATATGTAACTACCATTATTTCCATTTACAGATGAAGACACTGAGGTTTAGAGAGTTTAGGTGGCTTGCCCAAAGTCACACTGCTAGTACGTGTGGGAGCTGCAACACTGATTCAAACCTAGATCTTCTGATTACAGGTGTGTCTGACCATTACCTGGTCTCCTGACTGGCCTCTCTATCCCTAGGACTGGTCCCCTGCAGTACAGCCTGCACAAGGCCATGTGAGTTAAACCCTTCAACACTACTTCCCGGATAATGTTAAAACTCCTTAGCTTTATGTTCACTCTTCCCTGGGGCACCCTCCGGTCAACTAAAAGAAAACCAACCCACAATAGGATAGTAAATGCTTTATTCGTTTTCTTACTGGGTACTATAGCCTGGGAAAAGTCTTTCAGATGGCTCTGAAGAACTGCTCCTAAGCTCGTTAGCTACCGGGGATTATATATACAAAAGGGGAAAAGGGTATGCTTGCTTGCAAGCAGCTGTCCAAATACTTGTGCATCAAAAGGTATAATTTGTTACGGTTGTAAAAATTAAGGTTTAAAAGATATTAAGGTTTATTGATTTCCACATAGACACAAGAAAGACCCTTAGGTCTTCTTAATACTTTAGGTTTCTATCATGTCTGATTGTTTATTGGTTGCCTGTCTCTGCTTAATTGGTTTTCCGGTTCTTCCTGTTTTTGATTCTTCCTTGAGGTCGCTTGAGATGGTCACAGAAGGCTGTCATCAGTCATCGCCTGCAGTTTTAGTGCACACTACCTATCTTCTAACAAAACGCAACTATGAACTGTGCGCCTGCCCATCCCCAGCTTTCCTGCCTTCCATTCATTTACTCAAATGTCTCAAGGGTAGAAAGACTGCCCTTACTCAAAGCCTTCTCTGATTCCTTTAGCTGGAGGTCATCTCTTCTTCCTCCTCTGAACTCTCTTGACACTTGAATTTTTGTTTTTGGTTTTGTTAGCACCTTTTCAAAATTGTAATTAAATGTATGTAACATAGGGGCGTCTGGCTGGCTCAGTCAGTGGAGCATGCAACTCTTGATCTCGGGTTGTGAATTCCAGCCCCATGTTGGGCAAAGAGATCACTTAAAAAAAAAAAGTATATAACGTAAAATTTACCATTTTAACCATTTTTTTTTTAAAGATTTTATTTATTTATTTGACAGAGAAAGACACAGCGAGAGAGGGAACACAAGCAGGGGGAGTGGGAGAGGGAGAAGCAGACTCCCCGCCGAGCAGGGAGCCCGATGCGGGACTCGATCCAGGGACTCCAGGATCATGACCTGAGCCGAAGGCAGTCGCTCAAGCAACTGAGCCACCCAGGCGCCCCACCATTTTAACCATTTTTAAGTATACAGATCAGTGGCATTGAGTACCTCCAGAACTTTTTCATCTCACTTGGCACTTGAATTTGTGCCTTTGTTATGGATCGTAGTGCTTTCTGCCATGTAACATAGCTATTTGTGTACATGTCTTTTTTTTTTTTTAAAGATTTTATTTATTTATTTGACAGAGAGAGAGGGAACACAAGCAGGGGGAACAGCAGAGGGAGAGGGAGAAGCAGGCTTCCCGCAGAGCAAGGAGCCCGACGCGGGGCTCGATCCCAGGACCCCGGGACCATGACCTGAGCCGAAGGCAGACGCTTAACCGACTGAGCCACCCAGGCGCCCCTATTTGTGTACATGTCTTATCTCACCTATACTTTAAGTTCATTTATGGTAAAATCTATGTCTAACTCATTTTTGTCATTTCTCCCAAACTCTTGGAGTCATCTTTAATCCGCCCCCCACTCTCCTATCCCACATCCAGTTCATCAGCAAATCCTGTCCATCTCAATTTTCAAAATAGATCCAGAATCCCACCAATTCTCATCGACACCATTATGACCCTGGTCTGTCTCTCTTTTGCACTTTAGCTTCCTCACTGGTTTTCCAGCTTACATCCTTGCCCCTCTCCACTCTGTTCACACAAGCAGCCAGAGCTGTCCTAGTAAGTCAGCTCATTGTCATTTATCTGCTCAAATCCCTTCAATGGCTCTCCATTTCACTCAGGGTAAAAGCTACAGATGTGTAATGACCTACAGAGGCTGTTGTAGCCAGCCACCAGGATGATCTCTAACGATCTTTGCCTCTTGCTCTTCATGCCCTTGGCTAGTTGTCTTCTACAGTGAACTAGAGCTGACCTGTGTAAACTAATAGAATACTGTGGAAGTGATGGCATATGATTTAAAAGCCTAGGTCATAAAAGGCATTGTGTTCTCTGCCTCCCTCTCTCTTGGATTGGTTGCTCTGTAGGAAGCCAGCTGTTATGTCATGAGGATACTCAAACAGCATGTAGAGAGGGCCACACGGGGAAAACCTGAGTCCTCCCCTTCTTCACATCTCCTCCTCCCCCACCACCAGCAAACACCAACCTGTCAACCACATGAGTGAGCCACCTTGGAAGAGGATTCTTCAGGCCCAGACTTCAGATGACTGCAACCTCTTGAAACCCAAAGCTAGAACCACCCAGCCAAACCACTCTTAAATTCCTGTGTATTGCTGTTTTAAATAGCTAAATTTTACTTATTTGTTTTTATTTTTTTACATAATCTCCACGCCCAACGTGGGGCTCAAACTCATGACCCCGAGATCAAGAGTCCCATGTTCCACCAACTGAGCCAGTCAAGTACCCCTTAAATAGCTAAATTTTAGGGCAATTTGTTACCCAACAGTAGTTAACTAATACAAAGGCTCTACACAGTCAGGGTCCTTGTACCTTTATGTCTTCATCTCCTATTCTTTCCCCTTATTCCTTTAGCTTTCTTGCCTCAGGGCCTTTGGACTTGCTATTCACTCTGCACGGAACACTTCCCCCAGATATATCCATGGCTTGTCCTTCAAGTCTTTGCTTAATTGTAAACTTCTCAAAAAAAAAAAAAAATTGTCACCTTCTCAATAAGGCCTACCATGACCACCATATTTGAAATTACAGCTTCTCTCATAGCATTCTCAATCTCCCCTGCTCTACTTTTTTCCCCCATGGCATCTATCACTTTGGAACATACTATATGGTTATTTTTTAAAAGATTTTATTTGAGAGAGAGAGAGAGAGAGAGAGAAAACGAATGGTGGGCAGGAACAGAGGGAGGGGGAGAAGCAGACTCCCTGCTAAACAGGGAGCCCGAAGTAGGGCCTGATCCCAGGACCCTGGGATCATGACCTGAGCTGAAGGCAGACACTTAACCAACTGAGCCACCCAGGCACCCCGATTATTTTCTTTATTGTGTTTGTTTATTGTATGTCTGCTACCAACCCCTACTAGACTATAAACTCCAAGAGGACAGGAATTTTTATTTTGTTCACTGATCTAGCCCAAGTACTTCTTAGAACAGTGTCTGGCACAGAGTAGGTACTCAGAAGATATTTGTTTAATGAGTGAATAAAAATTTCATAAACACGCCAGACCCTTGGTAAGTATTTGTTAGGTGAATTATCAGTTGGGAGATGTGACCAGCAAAGTTGGGAGATGTGATAGCTGATACAGCTGGGGTATGGTGTTTAGGTTTTATATGAAGGGACACAAGAGGTGTGATGTTAGAAAAATACAATCTATATAGAGAGGTTACTCTTGTCTGTAAAAGGATGTTTTGTTGTAATTGTTTTTGGTCGAGGAGAAGGAATATTTAGAGAGGAAAAGAACGAAGGTATATTAGCTTGAACCATATGAAATTGCCAATGTTAAATCATTGCCAAATACTCCAGCAACTTAATATGGAGAAAGGAAAATAGCATAAAGACGCAGCAGGACTGAGAAAGAGATGGAATCAAGCATGAGTAGTGGCATTAACCTTGAATGGGAAAAAGGATACATCCTTAGAGGCTAAAAGTGATGAGATGTAGATAAGTAGAGAAGAATCTTGAGGGTGGTCACGACACCTCAGTGGCAGCTGGATTCCGTGGAAAGTAACATGTGTAGTTATCTGCTGAGAGGAAAAGCCAAGGTTTAGCACTAAACACTTCGCAAATGCAGTTGTAATTGGAAGCCCAACTAAATCAAGAGCAGAGTTGTTTTGAGTGAAGAAAGGTGGGGTGAGCCCTGACTTCCAGGCATTGCCCCCAGAGCTATGTACTTTCTGGCAGGAAGGAGTACACACCTGCATAGGCTTACTCTTGACTCATCACCAGAGAACAGCCTCTGTGAAGGTCATTCATGCTGAACAGTGTTTATCAGCAGCACCTGCCCCTCAGTCTCCTGACCTGCTCAGGTGTCTTGATCACTAACTTCTCCCTCCCTCCTTGCTGCCAGAAAGACTGCAACTGTAATTTCCTCTCTTTTGAGCAGTCATAGAGATGCCTGCCCTTATCTCGTGCCCGCAAAACTAGCATCTCCAGCCAGCCCTCCCTTTTTTCCTTTGCTTTTATCTTCCAGGACTCAGTCATACAGAAGAGACTTTTTGCTTGTTTGAGGTAGGGACAGAACAGCTCGCGCTCAACTTAAGCTAACGGAAAATTCCGCCTGGGCTTTCTAATCTATTCCTTTGGTTGTACACAATGTATTCAGTCTGCAAAAGTCCAACAACAACGTCAAGGTCAGGATATTGTCATGGTGTATCTGGAGAAGGGTGGAGGTGAAAGCTACAGGAGTTGAGGTCCAGGAGAGGCACTAGCATGTTGGCGGTATCATCACCCAGGATGGTAATGGGATTTGTGTTTAGGAAGGGAGACTAGGAGCCAAAGGCCACAGATGTCAATAGATGTGAGGAAGTGTCCTGAATGTAGTAGATAATAATTGTTAGCATTTCCTGAGAGTTTACCATATGCCAGGCACTGTCTTAAGTCTCTCATAATCCTCTCAGTAACCCTATAAGTTAAGTGTTCTTTTTATTCTCATCTTGACTCAGAACCTAAAATGGTGCCTGGCATATGGTAGGTACTCAAGCCAGATCAGGTCACTCCTCTGCCGAAAACCCTGCGATGGCATCTCACTTGGTAGAGGCAAGCACAGAGTGCTGTGGGAATTAGAGAGCTCTAGAAGCGGGGGGAGGGAGAAGAGTGAATCAGAGCTGGCTGTACACGGACTTCAGAAGGACAACCAAGAGTTAGCTAGCTGACATGGTGGGAGAAAGGCATTCTAAGGGGCACCTGGGTGGCTCAGTCGTTAAGCGTCTGCCTTCGGCTCAGGTCATGATCCCGGGGTCCTCGGATTGAGCCCTGCATCGGGCTCCCTGCTCCGTGGGAA